AGACCCTTCTGCTCCGTCATCCCTTCTTTCATTCCGCCTCCCGTGTTGTCTCGTCTCCTATGTAGCCTCAACCGTCTGCTTGCCCACGATGCCTCCTTCCAGGCGAAAGAGCTGTCAATAGGAATGGAGACTCCAACAAAGTCCTCAGCACCGTCAACACGACCATGGCATCCCATATGTATCATGTCCCGCCTGCGCGCGGCGTTCTTGGATCGCACCCACGCTCGCTCAAGCACCCAGGTGCTCCACGGGCCATCTGCTCTTTCAAACATATCGGTGTCGCTGAAGTGGCGCGCCGCGAAGCTTCCTGTTCGCCCGTGTCGTATCATTCCACCTCCCACCTCCACCTTCTTCTTCCCCCATCACCAGCTATCGACTTCCACCCTCCCACCTCCAGCATTCTTATTCCACCTATCGACTCTCCACCTCACCCAACCGACCTCCAGCTTCCAGGTTATGACCGTGCGCGTCCATTGCCAGCTATCGACTTCCGGCCATCCACCTCCAACATTCGATTTCCACCTATCGACTTTCCACCTCACCCAACCGACCTCCAGCTTCCAGGTTATGACCGTGAGCGTCCATTGCCAGCTATCGATTTTCACCCTCCCACCTCCAGCATTCGACCTCCGCCGATCGACCCTCCACCTCACCCAACCGACCTCCAGCTTCCAGATTCTGACCGCGAGCGTCCATTACCCACTATCGACTTCCACCCTCCCACCTCCAGCATTCTTCCTCCACCTATCGACTCTCCACATCACCCGACCGACCTCCAGCTTCCAGGTCCTGACCGCGAGCGTCAACTACCAGCTATCGACTCCCACCCTTCCACCTTTGGAATTCGACCTCCACCGATCGACTCTCCACATCACCCAACCGACCTCCAGCTTCCAGGTTCTGACCGTCAGCGTCAGCTGCCAGCTATCGACTCCCACCCTTCCACCTCCAGCATTCGACCTCCACCTATGGACTCTCCACCTCACCCAACCGACCTCCAGCTTCCAGGTTCTGGCCGCGAGGTCCATTACCCACTATCGACTTCCACCCTCCCACCTCCAGCATTCGACCTCCACCTATCGACTCTCCACCTCACCCGACAGACCTCCAGCTTCCAGGTTATGACTGTGAACGTCCACTACCAGCTATCGACCTCCACCCCTCCACCTCCAGCGGTGCCCCCGTCCACCCTCCCAGCAGAGGGGAAAGAAGTAGAGGAGGGGGGGGAGGAAGACGAGCCTACAGCGACGTGTCTGGCGACGTCCCAGCGTGCATCTTGCGCCGGCGATGCGAAATACCAGCATCCAGCCTGGAAGGTTCCACTGGGGGAGCCTCGGCAACAGATCCTTCGATCCCAGGGCGTTTACACATTGGGCTACAGCCTCCAGCATACGACTCCCCGCCACCTCCCCATTCACCACCTCCCCAATCCCTCGACCTTTCACATTCACCAGCGCAACATACCGACTTTCAGCCAAAAAGATCCGACGCTGCACTGTTACTTCAACCCATCGACCTTCAACAAACATCTGCTCACCAATCCAACACTCAGACTGCAACAAACGGCTTCCCGTATCCACCTCTACCACTCGACCTCCGGCCACCGCCAGACCAATACTCCGACCTCCAGCCTCCGACATCCGGCTGCGACCACAACCCATTCACGATCATCCACAAGAACGCGAGGAGCCTGACTACAGACGACTCGATCGACCTACTGATCTGCGAATTGGGAAGACATACTTGGGACATCGTGGCAATAAACGAAACATGGAGGACCGAGCAGCACGAGATGTGGACTACGAAACTTGGATCGCATGTTTTTGCGGCAGCCGGTCACACCGCTACATCACGAGGTGTTGCTTTCTTGATCCACCAGCGGCACGTACGCAGCATCAAGCATTTCAGACGTATCAACGAACGCATCGCCTACATCGACCTCGACATTGGCAAGTGCAGGATGAGGGTGACGACAGCATATTTTCCTCATTCTGGGTACGCCGACGTTCACGTCCAAAGAATGTATGATTGCCTGACCGCCAATCACGACGACGCCGCCCATCAGAAGCGAGTCGCAATCATCACTGGAGATTTCAACGCACAAGTTGGACAGCGACCAAACAGCGCGGACGACGATGTCAATCGCAGCGCAAGCCGAAGACCAACCGTGGGAGCACATGGACTGGGAGATTGCAACACACGTGGAACGTGGTTACGAGCTTGGGCCAACACACAAAGGTTACTTATCACGAACACCATGTTCTACAAGCACCACCACAACGTTTTTACGTACACCAGCAGCGGAGAGCATCCAACCCAGTCTCAAATTGACTACATACTCATAGATAGATGTCGCCGCAATCAAGTACTCGACGCATTTGCCACCAGCACTCCGGACCTCGGTTCAGACCATCAAGCAGTATGCATGAAGATGGTCCTCAACCCCACGAAACCCAACAAGAAGAGCAAACGTAGACGACGAACACCCTACCAATCATCTCTTCCGCCCGCCGCCGACCCACTTCACCAGCAGTGCCTACAGCGCCGACTCGACGATCACGACCGCACAGCGAGTACAAATGACAGGCGCACCTACATCAACAACGCCCTTGTCCAGGCTCACGAAGAGTATCGCGAACATGCGCGAGCTACTGCACAATGCCCGGCGCATGGGGAAGACCTCACAGCAGACCACAAACTACAAGAGCTCATCGTCCAACGACGTAACACACCACACAATGACACAACCAAACGTGCCACGCTGAGCAAGCAAATCTTGAGGCAACTTCGAACCATCAAACGAGCCCGCGACAACGCTAAGCTAGATGACATTGTCTGCCAATTCAAAGGCCTCAAGAGGATCGCCGGTGTGAAGTCTTCCAAACGAAAAGACATGATTGCATCAATGACGACCCCAACGGGAGACGAGGAGACTGACAGGACAAGCATCGCCGACGTTTTCGCGACATTCTACGAGCAACTCTACCGGAAGCAAGAGAGCGACAACAAGGATAATAGCACTGCCACAAAGGCAACATATTCCAACATACCGCCATTCACGATGGAAGACATACGGAAAGCCATCAAACAGCTGAAAAATGGCAAGTGCAGCGACACTGCTGGCCTCACAGCAGAACTGCTCAAAGCAGGAGGCACGACCATTGAGGCGTACTTGCTGCAGCTCTACAACGACATTATCACACCAAGCCACCTGCCACCCGGCCAATGCAAAAGCACGACGATCACGGTTATATACAAGTCCGGAGACCCCAAACTACCACAAAATTACAGACCAATTGCCATCATCCTGTTGTTGTACAAGCTTATGTCTCGCCTCATATGCAATCGGCGTGAGGCAGCATTCGACGCACAACAAAGCCCCGATCAAGCTGGTTTCAGGCGTGGCTACAGCACGGAAGACCACTTATTCATTACGGCAGTATTGTACGAACAGTCATATCGTTGTCAGCTACCACTCTGGGCAGCCGCAATAGACTTTAAGAAAGCGTTCGACTGCGTGAGCCATGGTAAAGTTTGGGAAGCTTTGCGACAGCAACACATCCCTGCTGCATATATTGGTTTCTTACAACAAATGTACAGCGACCAGACAGCCACAGTCAGAGCAGACACTAACAGCCGGCATTTTGACATACAGCGGGGAGTGAAGCAAGGAGACCCTCTCAGTTCATTATTGTTTAATTCGTTGTTGGAACACATGTTCCGACAACTCAAGACCAAGTGGCACCAAAAGCGGTTTGGCATCAGGCTTGGCTGTGCACAAGACACTAGCATCACCAACCTGCGCTTCGCAGATGACGTCCTGCTGTACGCCCCGAGCCTACGCCAGCTTACCTGTCTGCTACGCGACTTGAACAACCAGGTGGCGCTCTGCGGACTTTAACTACACCCCGACAAGACCAAGATCCTGACGAACGTTAGCCGGAGGATGGGTAGAACCATAACGCACATCAAGTTGGACGACGCACGTATCGACATCTTGCACAACGACTAGAGCACAAAATATTTAGGCAGAAAACTGTCGTTCCACAACTTCCACGAGTACGAGCTAGCAAACAGGATCGCCGCAGGGTGGGCGAAGTTCAACCAGCTACGGAATGAATTCACGAACAAACGGTTCTCTTTGCACAGTAGACTACGACTTCTCAACGGCACAATCACGCCTTGCATTATGTATGGATGCTGCTCATGGACTCTCACCAAAGACATGCTCCTCACGCTGCAGAGGACAAAACGGAAGATGATTCGTCTGGTCGTGGGCGTGCCGAGAAGACGGCTCCGACAGGGAAACAACAACGCAGCACCCGATACCAACAGCACAACCGACGACACTGGTGACCAGCACGAATTTGGACCGCGCAGCAGAGACGACGACCTGGAACCCTGGGTGGATTTCATACGCAGGAGCACACGCACTTCCATAAGTATTGCCGAGCGCATGCATGTGCAAAAATGGGCACACATATATATTTCAAAACGAAGTGGAACTACGCAGCTCGAGTCGCAAGCCACAGTCACGACAGATGGACGAGACGTTGCATAACTTGCGACCCGAGCGCTCACGACGCACGACGAGCAGAACGACGACACGGCGGTAAACGGAAGACTTGTAACGACGACATATTGTCATGTGTTAAAACAGCTACAACATAGAAATGCGACAACCAATGGGTGGATATGGCATCGGATGCGAATTTGTGGAGAAAGTCTTGAGGACGGCTTTCTCGACTACATGGAGGACTTCTTTCTTCTCCCTCAAAGAGTCTCCAACATCCACCTCTCCGATTTCTGCTCGCAACACGTCTTCTGAGGGCCCCGGCCCCCCCGCGCTGCCCTCGTAGGGCCGGTCCCGCTGGACCGACATCGCGCGCTCGTCGTCGTCGTATCATTCATTCCCCCTCCCCTGCCCAACGCTTCCTCCGCTTCGTCCTCGTCCTCCTCACCCTCATCCTCGTTGCAACAGACCTCCGCGCGACTGCCAGGACGGCAGCAGCGACGCCCGAGGCGTGGGTGGCAACGACGCCGAGGCGGGCGGCGCGGCCGAAGCAAAGAAGAGGCATGCCTCTGAGCAGCCCTGCTCCCCTCCCGTCTCCTGTCCTGCCCTGCGCTGCTCTGCCCAACCACACACACACACACACACACACACGCGGCGCGCTCCAGAAATGGCCTTGCCTTCGAGGATCGAAGGGGTCGGCATCTCCTCCTCGGCGGAAGGCGGCGGAAGGTGGGCGGAAGCCAGCGGCAGTAAAACGAGGCGGGTTCCGCCGTCGGAAGGCCGGCGGAAGGCCGGCGGTAGTAGCAAAAGATGCACCATCACGGGATGCCAATGTGCTGGAGTTCAGGGTTCCCGCAGTCGGCCACACACACACACACACACACATCACGTTCCCTCCACGGTTTCGCTTGCCAACCCTTTCAACTCCCGCTGTTCCCTCTCCCCCTCATAGGGCCTATTCCGATCCAATCGGTCCGATTCGATGTCAACTGCGGCCTGCCCGATCCGAGTCGATTGTAGTATTCGAGCAATCCGATGCAGCCCAATGTTTGCATGGCGTTGTTGTGCATCCTGACGCGGCTGGTCCGATTCGACTTCGACTCCGTGCAGGTGCAGCCCGATCCGATGCAAATTCCGATTCAGTCCGAAGTCCCGATTCGACGCCGATTGACTAGGAGGGCTTGGAGGGAGCACGGTCAGGATTTGCGACTTTCAGGAGGGCAGAAAAAACACACAGACACAACGAATCGTCGATTACCAAGGAAATATGGGAAAATATGAGAAGTGGGGGGGAGGACAAAAACCCAGAAGATATGGGAAGATGTGGAGAATCCTGTTATTTCTGTCTATTTATTTGTGTGTACCAGGGCCCCTTCATACTTGGCGTGTCACGGCGGTGGCCCCAGCGGCACGGTATGCCCTGCGAGCTGATAGCGTGTCGCTCCGCTCCGCGGGGCGGGAGGTTGGTAAAGGCTCGGGGCGTTGACGCTACAGAGGAGGCGTTTATTAAGGAATAGTCCCAGGAGGCGCCAGACCCTGGAGGATTCTTTATCCAATGAGGGCGGCGGTGATACCCATGGCCACTCCACGACCAGAGTTCCGCGGGCTTCCAGACCCTGGATTCCTTATCCAGTGGTTCCTTATACAATGCCCTCACCGTCGGGGGCGGGGACATGGTTAGCGTGTCGCGGCCATGCGTGGTTGGCCAGAACTGGCGGAGCGACACGCAAAGCAAAACTGACTGGCCGTGGACACTGGAGGAGGAGGGAGGAGGAGGAGGAGGAGGAGGAGAACCCTGTGCCACTCCTGAGGAGCCTAGCTACACACCCAAAGACCCAGACCACCCGGAGCTGGACATCGAAGCCTTCAGGCCGACGTGGCCCCGCACCGATACGGGTCCCTTGCGTCAACCCGACGGGAGACCGAGCGCCATGCTCATCCACCAGTTCGGGCTCTTGTCGCAGCTCCTCGTCAGGCGCGAAAATCGGGAGACGGAGGGAAGAGGAGAAAGGGGTGATAGGTAGAAGGAGGAGGAGGAGGATGAGAAGGAGGAGGAGGCGGAGGAGGAGAAGGAAGAGGAGAAAGGTGATTAGGAGGAGGAGGAGGAGGACTCCAGGGCTCCAGAAATTGGGGGACACATGAGTGCAAGCTCAAACCTACCGGGGTTCTGGCAGGGTTGGTTCAAATGGGTGGGGGGGTAGCTAAGCCTCCCGGGGATGGGGGGGTAGATTCCGAGGGGCGGAAAAAAGGGTGGAAGGGGGGGGGGGGAGAAGGGGCTTCGGGCATGGAAGGTCCAGGGGGGGGGGGAGCTAAGGGGAGACCCCCCTCTTTGGGAGTGGTCCACGGGCGTGTTCTCTCTGATATCGCTTCGCGATTGATCCGATTCCCATTCCGATTCTTCCTCCTCCTTTTGTTATTATTATTATTTTTCTTCCTCCTCCTCCTCCTCCTCCTCCTCCTCTTCCTCCTCCTCATTGCATTCGTCCCGATGGGGCCACTGGATACGGACGAACTCATCTCATACGCTGTGCTCCTCCTCTCATACGTTGAGCAGGGGACGCAAGAGCTGGTAATGCGCTGGTTGCTGGGACACAGATACATCGTACAACGATGTCAGTGCGCTCGCCACCCTCACCCACGCGACGGCGGCCCTAACCTCGAACCAACATGAGCTGCAGAGACGGAGGAGGGCGTCCTCAAGGATGCCAGCCGCTCCTTCACGAAGTAGGACGTCCCAAAACACAAAGCAAGCGCTTGTACAGATTGAATGCACACGGGCTGGATGCTGACTTGAGCCCACCATTGGCACGGCATCCTGCAGCAATGTGGCTACGGATCGTGCGTACGTCAATCAGGTCACCGCAACCACCGGTGCAATGCAGTTTAGCACAGTTTGGCAGAGGGTTGGCTCCGTCATCAGCGTGGCAGGCCGATCTCATCAAGACGTGGGCTGGCGCATGGGATGCTACGGGGCGCATGCGCATGCGCATCAAGAAATCATGTACCCTGGGCGGCCCTAACAAACGATAGCCAACGTGAACCCGATACAGTGAGCTATGCATTGTGGAGGTGAAGCAAACATTGAGCAAGCCATGTGGTAAAATCTTTTGTATGTGAGTTATGTGGTATAATGTATGTTGTGCAAACGATGTGGTGCAAGGCATTTAGTGTAAGCCATGTGATCTGAGCTATTTGGTGTAATACTTTGTGTGTGCACTATTCGGTATCAGCTTGGTTGTATAAGCTATGTGTTTTTAGCTATGCGGTGTTAGCTAAACGGCACAAGCTATGTGGTGCAACCTATGTGTCGCCGCGCCGCTTGTCCCGACGCGCGGCCCTACGTCTTGGGAGCCGCGCTTCGGCCACCAGGGCAAACCCGTCCTCGGACGTAGAGTTTGCCCTAGGTTTGCCGCGATGCCGGCCCTGTCTCTTCGAGCGCAGTCAGAGCTATCGGCGCGGCGGCCTGTGGCCGAAGCTAAGTTGTGCAAGCGATGTGCTGTAAGCGCACAGGGCGCCCACGGGGCGCCCATGAGCGGGCACGGGCGCCAACGCGGCGAAAGACGGGGAAAGTGGAACCGTGGTGGGAACAGTGGTGGGGACAGTGTGGGGGGGGGGAGGGGTTCGAACCGGCAGTGACCCCCACCCGGTTTTCGAGGTGGGGGGGGGGGGTTCGAACCGGCGGCAGTGACCCCCCCACACCGCACGGGGCGCCCACGAGCGGCCACGGGCGCCACCGCGGCGAAGCCTCAGGAAGCCCGCCCCGCGCACGGGGCGCCCGCGAGGCGCCCACGAGCGGGCACGGGCGTCCACGCTGCGCGAACGTGTCAGCAACGCATGCGGTGAGTTAAGCAAACCGAGCAAGATCGCCCAAGTGCAAGCATTGTTGGGTGCGAAAGAAGAGATCCAGGCTTCGGAACAAATTAGCGAACACTCATGCCAAATTCATCTGTCAACGCCTCCCCCCCCCAATGTTCAAAGTTGGCGGAGGGTCTGATGAGATGCACTTCGACCGCAGTGTTTTCCGCGCGTGCCAACATTGAGTTGGGGGGAGGGGGAGTGTTCAGTAATTGTTTCCCTCTACCGTCGCACACTACCTCGGAGACTGTCACAGATTTCAAGGCTGCTGGAGTATCTGTGCGGCGTCCCAGTCGCGGACCCCATCGTGCGGAAAGGCATCGTGGAAGCCTTCAACTATGACACGCACCACCCGTTGTCAACCCACACCCTCGACGCATATGGCGGTTGATATTCATCATGGCCAAGTCCAGGATCAGCCTCCCACCAAGAGCAGTCCAGCACGGAAGAGAGCCCCGCGATCAAAACCGAGGGGCTCCTTCCGCCGTGGTGGATCCCTCCTCCACAGCCTGGACGCAGTCTGCGGGCACGTGCGGTGCGCCGCCCCGCTTCCTCTAGTTCACCCGCGGGGGCGCGAGGGTAGTCGCGCTTCGCGCATCGCGGTCTGGCTCACAGCGGCTGCTCTCCTCCACTGGGGCGGCGTGGGGCGAGGGCGCGAAGGTAATCGTGCATCGCGGTGAGCAATGCGCGACGGTCGGTGGCGTAGCTTCTTCAGCCGCGACGTCGAGAGCGCCAACCTCCGTCGCGGCTTCGAGAACAGTCTCGACTACTACCTGGTAGGCAGGTCGAGGCCTGCGGCGTGGAACAGTCTTCGAGAACAGTCTTCGAGAACAACAGCGTCGAGGCCTGCGGCTTCAGGTAGGCAGCCTTCGGCACCCGCGTGGAGATGACCTGGGTGAAGAGCGGCCAACGCTCCCAAGACCTAGTGACACCAGCTCCCGTCACTTCTCCTCCTACTCCTGCTCCTCCTCTTCCTCCTCCTGCTCCTCCTCCTCCTCATTCTCCTCATCTCCCTCCTACCCATCGGACTCCGTAGCCATTTTGGCTCAAGATGCCTAGTTCCACAGTGGAACAAGTGGATACCGCTAGTCCGCGGCCAGTGCCAGGGCTCTTGAGCCCGACAGCTTTGTTCAACTCTCCGTGTGCCTCCTGCAGCCCGCAGGTGAGCTTCCTCAGTCTCTCTCGTCCATGGCGCCTCCGCAGCAGCGCAGCGCTTATGTCAAGTGCTACTCCTGCTCGTACTCCTGGAACTACAAGACCAACCAGACGTGCTACTGGTGCAGCAAAGCCTTGGCGCCGTGGACAGACTCCCCGCCTCCAGTTCAAGGCGCCTGGGCGGCCCGCGCCAAGGCCGCAGCCCAGGCCGACTCCAGCTGTACCCAGCAGCCCAGCCCCGAGACGGGATGGGAACCGTGGTCGTCATGGCCCAAGTCCCGCCGCCGCCGAGGCAATGGCAATGGCAAGAACCAAGAGGACGACTGGTGGGCCAACAAGAACGACACCCCCAAGGTGCGCTCCGCAGAGGACATCCTTGCGGAGCTCCAGGCGATCGCCCCCCACATCGACAAGGCAGCCATCGACGGTATCAAGTCGCAGATCCCGCCGCCCCAGCCGCAGAAGCCAGCCGACCTCAACGACATCTACAGCCGCGCCCAGGCCACGGAGCGCCGCTGCAAG